GCGGGAATAATAATGGGAAGAATGGGAATAATGGGAATAATGGGAATTGGGGGATGGGAATGATGGGAATGATGGGAATAATGGGAATAATGGGAATAATGGGAATTGGGAATGGGAATGGTGGGAATGGGGGAATTTGGGATGGGAATGGTGGGATGGGAATGGGAATAATGGGAATAATGGGAATAATGGGAATGGGAATTGGGAATGGGAATAATGGGAATAATGGGAATAATGGGAATAATGGGAATTAGGGATGGGAATAATGGGAATGGGAATGGGGAGAGGGGAAATGGGAATGGGAATGGCGGGGATGGGGGAACTTGGGATGGGAATAATGGGAACGAGAATGGGAATGGGAATAATGGGAATTGGGGGATGGGAATAATGGGAATAATGGGAATAATGGGAATTGGGAATGGGAATAATAGGAATGGGAATGGGGGAATGGGGGAACTTGGGATGGGAATAATGGGAATAATGGGAATTGGGAATAAGGGAATTAGGGAATAGGGGAATGGAATTCGGGATGGGAATAATGGGAATTGGGAATGGGAATTGGGACGGGAATAATGGGAATGGGGGAATGGGAATGGGAATTGGGGGATGGGAATGGGATTGGGAATGGGAATAATGGGAATAATGGGAATGGGATGGGAATGGGGATAATGGGGATGGGAATGGCAGGAATGTGGGAATTGGGGGATGGGGGAATTTGGGATGGGGATAATGGGAATGGGATGGAAATGGGAATAATGGGAATAATGGGAATGGGGGAATGGGAATTGGAATAATGGGAATGGGAAATGGGAAACGGGAATTGGGAATTGGGGATGGGGATGGGAATAATGGGAGTGGGGATTGGGAATGCGGGAATGTGGGAATGGGAATTGGGAATGAGGGAATGGGAATGAGGGAACGGGGGAATTTAGGTTGGGAATAATGGGAATTATGGGAATGGGGATGGGAATAATGGGAATTGGGGATGAGGGAATGAGGGAATGAGGGAATGGAATTTGGGATGGGAATGGGAATTGGGAATGGGAATTGAGATGGGAATTGGGAATTGGGGAATGTGGGAGTGGTGGGAATGGGGGAATTTGGGTTGGGAATGTTAGGAATTGGGAATTGGGAATGGGATGGGAATGGGAATGGGGATTGGAATGGGGGAATGGGAATAATGGGAATTGGGAATGGGAATGGGGAAATGGGAATGGGTCTTCGGAATGTGGGAATGGCGGGAATGGGGAAACTGGGGAATTTGGGAAGGGAATAATGGGAATAATGGGAATGGGAATGTGGGATGGGAATAATGGGAATGTGGGATGGGAATAATGGAAATTGGGGATGGGAATGGGGAAATGGGGGGATGGGAAAAATGGGAATGGGAAATTGGGATGGGAATAATGGGAGTGGGAATAATGGGGACGGGAATGGCAGAATGGCGGGAATGGGGGAATGGGAATAATGGGAATGGGAATGGGGGAATGGAATTTGGGACGGGAATAATGGGAATGGGATGGGAATGGGAATTGGGAATGGGATGGGAATAATGGGATGGGAATTGGGAATGGGAATTGGGATGGGAAAAATTCCCACAAAATTCCCAGAAAACTCCCAAAATATCCTCCAAAATTCTCACACAATCCCCACAAAATTCCCAAAAAGCCCCAAAAAATTCTCCAAAAAAAATTCCTAAAAAATTCCCCTCAAAAAAATCCCCCAAAAAATCTTCAGAAAATCCCACAAAAATACAAAAAAATCCCATGAAATTCCCCAAAAATCCTAAAAAAATCCCCCCAAATTCCCCCAAATCCTCACAAAATCCCACAAAATTACCAAAAAATTCCCAAAAAATCCTCCAAAATGCCACAAAACTCCCAAAAATATCCTCCAAAATTCCCACCAAATCCCAAAAAAATCCTCCAGAAACGCCCAAAAAACCTCCAAAAAACCTCCCCAAAATCTCCAATATTCCCAGAAAATCAAGAAAAAATCCTTCAAAATTTCCGCAAATCCCCCAAAAATTCCCAAAAAATCCTCAAAAAACCCCACAAAACTCCCCCGAAAAAATCCCCCCCAAAATTCCCGAAAAATCCCCAAAATATACTCAAAAAATCCCAAAAAACCTCAAAAAAATCCCCCAAAATTTCCCAAAAAATCCTTTAAAAATCCCCTAAAAACCCTCAAAAAATTCCCAAAAAATCCTCAATAAATCCCCCCAAAAATCCCCCCAAAATCCCCAAAAAAGCCCCAAAAAAGTCCCAAAAAACCTCAAAAAAATCCCCCAAAATTCCCAAAAACTCCCCAAAAAATCCTAAAAAAAAATCCCCTAAAAATCCTCAAAAAAACCCCAAAAATTCCCAAAAAATCCTCAAATCCCAAGAAATCCTCAATAAATCTCAAAAAAAATCCTCCAAAAATTCCCAAAAAATCCCCCCAAATCCACAAAAAATCCTCAAAAAATCCCCAAAAAATCCTCAAAAAATACCTAAAAAATTCTCAAAAAAGCCCCCAAAAATTCCCCAAAAATCCCCAATAAGTCCCCCAAAAATCCCCTTAAAATCCCCCCAAAAATCCCTGAAAAATTCCCAAAAA